CCGGCGCCTCTGCTCTCGATAAACACGGCAGCAAAAAGCGTACGCCCGTCTCTCACGGCAAACGCCGGCAACAAACTGCAGAGAGCTGAAATCAAAGGTTTATGTTGATATTTATTACAGCATGGGGGGGAAAGGGGGAGAACCGTTTCATTCAAAAAAACCGTCCCATACCAATGAAGACAATAATTTAGCTATTCATTTTAAAATACATTAAAACCGGTCCTTTCATTTCCTCACATCAGAACAAAAATGGAGAAAAAAAAAAAAAAAGAACAAGATGGAAGGCAGAAAAAGAAAAAAGTTGACCCCTTCTGGAGCCCATGGGCATATTTGCAATGCAACAAATCTTCATTCGGTTATTTCTTATCATTACTTTTAAAATATTAACCTGACTGTAACTATGAGACTGACACCCTCAGACCCCCCCCCCCACCCTCCCTCCCTGCCCAGCAACTTTCTACAGGTAAAGCACAATTAAAATGCCTAGGAAAAAGAAGGCAAACATTTAAAAAAATTCATATTACACACTAAAAAAAGTTTGTCATCTCATGTCTTGCAGTCAGAATAATAAAAACAAGCCAAATGTTCCCAAAAACATTTCAATGAAGGGGTGCGGAAAAAAGACATCCCTTTAATAAAACATTATCAACAAATATCGTACACAAACTACAATGTATAATAATTACTTTTTTCCCCTCTCTTATTTTAGAACCAGACTACAAGGTAAGAAAAAACACTGAAACAAGATACAATGCTTTCAATAATCCGCACAAGGGTCAATCCAGGGAGATAATATTTTACATAATATGATATACATGGAGCAGAAATGGAGATTTAGAAAAACAAAGACCAACTACAGGGGTAGTGTAATGTACAGAGATCCCAAAACTCCGGCGAGTGTCACTTTACACGGCTTGCCTGTTCCTTTTCTGTAGTCACCTCTCTCAGGAGAAGGAAGGTCATTTTTAACTTTTGATTATTTTTATTTTGTATTACAGAGCGAGCCTACAGAATAGCAAGGATACATTTGAACAACAATAATTACTTAAAAAATATCTCCATCCAGTTCCAAATCAGAGATAAGTGAAACCCTGACAAGAGTACATCTTAAAAAAAAAACCAAACCAAACCAAACCAAACCAAAAACCAAAGTTAGCTGGAGATCACGGTTTCAAAGTCCCAGGTCAGATTAACCCTTTCTTTCTCCTTTCCTTCGGTGGGTTTAAACCAATTTTTTTTTTTTTTGGTAGTGAACCAGCTCAAGGACTCTCAGGAAGGGAGGGAGAGCGAATTCTTCTTGTATTCTGAGAGGGGGGGAAAGACTAACACAGTGCATGCCACAGTCACAGATAGTAAGATCACAATTAATTCGAGGATGTGATCCTATAAGGGGTCACCTGCATTAACAAGTTTGTAACGAGGTGGTGGAGTCTCTTCCACAAGCAGATCTTGTTACTGGAGGAGGAAGCGTTGTGCTGCAAACGAACAAAACAAAAAAAAAGGAAGAAAAAACAAAACCAAAAAAACAGGCCTTCTGAACGAAAACCACCATTGTAAACTGTCCAGTTTATTTAAAAAATGACTACAACAGAGACAACATGAGATTTCATATCTAGACTAGCTTCCTGGTGTCGCACGGCACAAACATACAACAGGGTTCTGTTTTTGTTTTTATTTAAAAGAACAAAGCAAAGAGATTGGAGTTGAGTGCTAGAGGCTTCCATTTGTTTCCAAAAAGAAGTGTCATGTACATATATAAACCCTTCTGCACAAAGAAGGATCTTGTCATGTCTTGAAATATTTTAAGTTTTGTCCTTCATGTTTTATGGAATAAAAAGTTCAGCCTTTTTATTGCATGAAACTAAACCTGGGGTTTTGGCCCCCGCCACACGTCTCCCTGCCAATACACCTAGCTTCTTCTTGCATAATTCTTTGAGATCCTCCAAACGGCAGCTGACTCTCTTTATCCTGGAGAGGAGGAGGGGGAGGGAAATCACACACTCATCGTCATGCTGGGGGAATACTGAAAGAGAGACAAAGCCAGGGTGAGAAATCAGGCCGACCAGACCAAAATACTAAGCGCTACTCTGGCTGGGGAAAAGGGGGGATATAAAAGTGAGACTTGGGCTTATGAAAACTATAAAGCAACATAATTGGATCTAATAAATCAGAAAGAGAGAATATGCTAGAGACTCTAATTTATCAGAATGTAATCTGCTCGGTATCTTGTCTTTCTAGGGAGAAAATAACCAAAACAGTATGGGGTAAGAAGCAATTTAAAAAAAAATAATTAAAATGCATGCATGTATATAATGCTAATACAGTAAGAACAGGAGAGACTTCTGCATCCATACATAGTGCCTTAAATCAGCATGACTACGAGACTGCAGATCTCAGACACTGGATCCAGACCCGAGGCAAGCACAGCTGGCTACACCTGCACTGGCCGCTGTAAAGCGGGAGGGGGTGGCCACTAGCTCAAAATCAAATTATTTTGGAGGAACTGAAGCGGCTCCCATGGCAGGGAGAGAGTGGAGGAGGTGCAGATCTACGGTACTTGTCCCAGCTAGTCTCCATCCCGTGGGATCTTCTCCTGCTTCCTTCTCTCCGCTCGTTCATTACACCCACGTGTTGTCATCCTGGCGAGAACGTCAGCTTGCGCCTACCCACACCCGCTTCTCGAGACACCCAGCACATTTCTTCCTCCCCCACTTTTTCTCCTGGAGCAGCTTACAAATAGCAAAGCCCAGGTCAAAACCCGAGGTCTAAGGAGCCAGGGTTCCCAGCTCATAGCCTCGGGCTGAGCAGCCAACAGCCACACCATCAGTGGCCAGGGGCACCTGCCCCGGCCCCAGGGACGCCTGCGGGGGCAGGACACTCACATTGTCATTTTGGAAGGAATGGAGAAAGTTGCCTCCCAGCTCCCCGTCGTCTCTTGGAGTGCCCGGGGGATTGCTAATGCCACTTATGTTGTTTGGAGAATTCTGGGGGAGACAAGAGGGGAAGGCCGTGAGCGCGTCCCGGCGAGCCAGCCCGGCCGTGCTCCCAGCTCCCCCGGTCCCGTCCCCGACGTGCAACCCGCTCCCGTACTGCACATAGCCATCCCGCTGCCGAGGCGTTATGAGAAAAGGGGGGGAGGAATTACACACACGTCCTCCAGCTGCCCACGAGCGCACTTACTTTTGGAAGTCCATCTATGTCTCCTGACCCTGCGGGGGGGGGAACAAAAGGAAAGAAACCTCACTGAACATGCAGCAATGGCCCCTGCTCCCCCTTGCCCCCTTCTCCCTCCTCTTTTCAGTTTTCAGCCAAAGGCGCTGTTTTGAACACGAATCTGAACTGGAGGCCACTCCGAAACAGGGGTAGGCACAGGAACCCCGGCCCTTCCGTCAGCCACCACCACGCACAAGACAGCCCGCCCCCCAGCCCCCCCCGCCACGCGACGAGACGCGAGTCTCTGGTCCGGCAGGTCTGCGTGGGTGACAGGGATGTGGCGTGGGGGGCGCCAGCGGGTCTGAACGTCGCCGTGAGCTACGCCACGGTTCGGCTCTCTGGGCCGCGGTATCGCCGCGCGGGCGCTCACCTAACGATCCGTTCATGTGATGAGGCTCCATTCCACCCATGCCGCCCATCGGGCCGTCAGAGCCGGGTCCCATCGGGAACTGCGGAAGGGAAAGGCAACAAACCAGAAGTGACCCGAAAGGTAACGCCCCAGACCTCGGCCGCTCTCTGCCCGTCCCCTCTGCACCCTTCAGCCCGTCAGGAGCAGGGCGAGAGGAGGGATGCCCCCCCCCACGGCTCCTAAAACCTCTAGGATAGGGTGAGCTCCTGGGAGCACCCGGCACAGCGCAGCCTCGACTGCGCCGAGAAACGGTGAAGCATTTTTGCCTCCATCGACTTACACCCCTGTTCCTAGAATCGCAAAAAGCCCCAGCGCCTGGCAGGATGTGGCCAGGATTTTTCTGCAGAGTAACTTTCGAAACACATTTAAGACAACCCCCATTCAGTCAAAGCAGTAGAGCCTGTAGCTAGGAAGATGAGTGTTTTCATAGGGATGAAAAACTTGAAACAGATTTCAAAATGGATTTTAAAACACAGCCACCACATTCCCACTGGTGATGTACACCAGCACATAGCCTAGACTGAAGTTTTAAAGGATCACAGCTTTACAAGGGTGCTGGTGTCAATCTCTCCCACGAGCGATGCCCACGGCTGTCTGTCTCGCACCCCGGCTGACGGGGCTGGCATCGCCGCAAGAGAGCACCAGCAAATTCAGACGAGGTTAAGAGGAGCTCCACGTCCCACTTCCAGACCCCTTACGTGTCTGCCTGCTCTTTGCTCATCTGTTTCGTCCTCCTCCGGAAAGCCAAGCTCCCTCAGGACTTTTTCGGGGGGCAGTTTCCATTTTTGTTGCTTGTTTTACCCCCGCCCTCTGGGCAGCTGAGCCGTAGCGCAGCCCCGTACGGAGGTGGGAGCCGTGCTGGGCTCGCCGTCAGCCACCCCCGTGACCCGCTAGCCCTCCAAGGACATGTCTTGGGGCTCGCAGCCCTAAGCGGTCGGCGAGGAAATCTGGCCGTAAGGGCGCAGGGAAGCACAGATGCCGCAGCAGCGCAAAGGGCTCTCTGGGCCCGGCATCTGAAGAGGATCAAGCCTGAAGTTGCCCGCGTCCCTGAAAACGTTGCTGCTTCC